CTGCTTTTCTGGTGTTCTTAGTTGTTTGATCTATATCTGCTGTAAGTTGCCCCAATTTTATGGTGTTACAAGGGTGTTTTCTACTTCAATGTACTGCTATCTAACCTCATAACGACAGGAATCTGTTTGGGTAGTTAGTTAAGAGCCTTAGAAGCTCTTTGTTTAGGTTTGGGTTTCTTGGTAGTGGAAGATTTGATTGATTTCACTTCATTTAAGGTATTTGTTTCCCTGTGTCTCGGGTAAACTTGCCAATCAATAGGCATGGATCGTTTTTTCCATGAATTCTGTCTTAAGGTTTGTAATTTGGGTATGGTGTATTCCTTGCTGCTTCTCTGTTGTGGAATCCTCTTTGTCTGTGATTGTAATTTGTTACAATTTTCATATCTATAACTGATTGATCCACCCCCTAGGATCGTTAAAACTATCCATGGTCCTCCTGAAGGGGATCTTGTAGTTGCAGGGTGTCATTCCTTACATTGTTTACATTATCCATCATTATATTTTCCACAGATCTATTGGGCTATAGAGCTATACTTCCTGAGTAATTTACGTGCTAACTGCTTTCCTTTTTTTCTGTCCTGACCAATTTGTGACAAACTTGAAACACTATTTCAGGTAACTCTTCTCTTCTTATACTATGTATTAATGGATTCACATTATCAGGATCATTTAAATCTACAGTTATATCATTCGAGATCCCTTCTGTTATCTGGTGATTAATATCCTTCTCTGTGGGGTACCACGGATTTCTGGAGGTTAGTACCATCTCATGACATTTACTTTTCCTTAATATGTTTCTTCCTGAACTAACACTTTTTTTCACTTAACTAACAACTTTTTGTAATAATTTCCTAATATACTATAAATCTAGACTCACCTTGCATGTGAATAACACTATGATGAATGGCCAGTAGTTTGCCTCTCTTCTTTCTGCTAATTTCTGTTTCTATTGTTATAAAATGCTCCATGAGATGAGACCCCACACAGTGCAGTCCATGTACCTTCCCGGATCTCTAACATGCAGCCCTTGACCATCTACCTGGCCCTCTGTTTCATGGGGAGAAGAATAGGGATATGTTATGGTAGTGGGGATAAATATGATCAAATAGTTGCATGCATGAAAATGTTACAATGAAAAATATTATTTTGCATACTTATGCACTACTGAAAACTAAAAAAGAATTGAAATATTTGTCTTTCTATAAATGTTTTAGGAAGTTTAACATCCATGGGAAAATTAAAATCTGAACTTCAACCTCACATAATACAAAAAATCAATTCCTCTAGGGTTGTAGACCTAATTAGAAACAAATTAATATAGTATTTAATATGTTAACAGGGATAATAAGTGATCATAAGGTAAAGTGTAATGTCTGATGCTAGACTGAGAAAATATTACTGTATAAGAGAAAAAATACTCAGACACATATTTGATTTCAGAAAGAATATGGAAATAAACCAAGTCAAGCACAATACTCTGCTTCTATTTAGTAGGGTTTTAGCTCAGATTCACAATTGCACCATGATGGTGATGCTAGTGCCTGCCTCTTAACATATTTTGCAGACTGAATGGGGTAATTATACACAGTATTTGTGCAATAATGTTAGGTCTCTGCTAAGTATGAAGTCAGTGTTTATTAGTACTGGTGGATTTTTGGAAAATGTATGCCTCAGGTAAATTAAAATCCAACATTGTTGTATGCTGCAATTAAAGAATAAAAACCTTAGACAGACAATAGCAATTTTAACATGCATCTCTATTGCAAAATGGAAGAAATGGAATACCCTGTATTTCTTTGTGACTACCTATCTGTCATTGTAAAATCATGGTGTCTCATTGAGTCAATTTTGGTGCATAATTAAGGGTCCATACTTAAATATATTTACACTTAAATCTACCAACTCAATTCATATTCTATCAAATTATTAGAAATATCATTTTTGAGTATGCTATTGGAATCTTATTTTGTTGTCAAGAAGTAGTTTTACATACAATGATTTGAGGAAAAAGAAATTTCAAGCAGTTAGTAGAAAGTATGCATGGTGACTGTGGCATTCCAAAGATTTAGGAAAATGAAAACTAGATTAGAGGTGTGGCTAAAGTAGTAGAGCTCCTGCTTTGCAAGTACAAAGCCCTGAATTCTAACACCAGTCCCAGCAGAAAAGTAAAATATGCAGAACCAAAAACCATTCATCATAACAACATGCAAGAAATTAGGGATCTAAACAAACTTTCACCTTAAGGAAGCATCAAAATAACAATCTCAAAATATCAATTTTTCTATCATCTCTGTATTTATTACAATGATTAGAAAATAGGCAAAGATTTCCAATAATACCATGAGTATTCACCATTGTGTTAGTGGATGTAACCTAAGCAAATAATGCTTCCAAAATAAATGTAAGGTGTGTAGATTGGAAAGACAGAGCATGTCTTTTAGGAATAGACTTGATAATTATATATAAATATTATAAGAATACTAATTAAATAAAATTAGAACAAACTGTAAAAAGAATATAAAAGCACCATTTCAGCATGGCTTCAATACACAACATGAACATATAAAATAATAACAGTTACTCACAGTAGCAACTGACAATCTAAAAGTAAAACTGAAAAATATTCTAATTAAAGCAGACTCCTGTTGCTGGCACCATGGCTCAAGTATTGCAGCACCAGCCTAGCAAGCAAGAATCTGTGAATTCAAATTCCAGTACTGTCCTTAAAGAAAAAAATACACTCCTAAAGGAAAACTTGGAAATGAATGTAAAACACATGGAGGTATATATATTGAAAATAATTAAATTTAATGGACAAAATTATTGAGATTCTAAGCAATGGAAATTCTTTGATGCATACTGACTAGAACATGTATTAATCAGTTTTCAGTGGTTATAACAAAATAGCTCAGTTTCAATAATTTATAAAGATTATAGATAATGCTTTGCCATAGAATAGAGCCATGATGAGGGTCTCATGATGGGTGAGGTTAAAAAGGCTGAAGTGCCTGAGTGCCTGCAACAGACATCACTTGTTGTGACATGAAGCCAAAGAGATTCAGGGTCCAGATGTAATCTTTTATTATGGCCAGTAACTGGCGACCAAAGAATACAATTGAATCACTTATGAGAGTGACACTCTGCATGCTATGATTATCTTCTACTAGGACCCACCTAAGAAATGTTTTCATCCGATGTCCCTGGGATACTTGTGTATCCACAATAGCAACTGGAAATTCCCCCCATGTGTAAATGTAAATTTTAACCAAGTTAAATATATACAAGAGAACTTAAGATATATATACCAAAATCCATAAAGACATAGCAAAACAACTTTGTGCACTTAGGTTACAGAATATTTTCTAGGATCTGGCACCAAAAACAAAAGTGACACAAGAAAATTGGCATTGACCTTCATCAGATCTAAAAACTCTTGTGATTCAAAGTACACCATCAAAAATAATGGGAGAAGATGTTTGCAAGTCACATAGATAATATAGTTCTCACACCAGAATAACCAAAAGTGGACATGGCACTTCTATGTGTACACCACTGCTAGAGAGAAGAATACTCTTATGTCAGAAAACAATCATGATGTACTCCATCTGCACCATAGTGACCCTGAGTTTACCTGGGACCAAGGCTTCCATTGACCATGTATTGTCTCCTTGGGACATGGGATGTTATACTCAGTCAGTCACTAATATTGATCAGCACCCTATCTCCTATATGATCTCTACTCCTTCCCCTATCTTTAACCTTATTACTTAAACACTACTCCTAAAATCATGGACTTATCCTAAAACATAATGTTGATTGCACTGAACCCAGCCCTAAATCTGACCCTAATCCTAAGTCAGTTACAAATCACTAAATTTGACCTGTTCTTAACACTAACACTATTTTCATAACCCTGACCTCATTCTCCTGCTCTTGTGCATTTGTATGGACATTTACAGCCGTGTGTTTGGAGGAGACCCTGTCCTTACGTATCTGTATCTCTGTGTGCACTTGTGGTTCTCTGTGTGTGTTTACATGTACATATATGTGTTAGAAGGAAGTTGTGTCTTCAATGACTTCCTGTGATGTTCCCATCTCTTCAGTTTTTGCATTAGCTACAGTTGATACTTGTCCTTGTTCACAGGTAATACAAATGTTTATGGGCATGAACACCTGAAAATACCCTAGATCACAGATGTGGTATTAATCCTAGGGATGGGGGGATTGCTGGTGTGATTCTGTGAGGCAAAATGACTTGTCCAGGATTCCACAAATGGGAAGAATGAGGCACTGCATTAGCCGGGCCAGCTTTTGGAAGGTAAGACACTACCAACTGCCAGCACTGGCTGAAAACTGTGGGCTAGGATGGGCTGTGTTGATGTGTGTCCATGTGTGCATATATGATGTGTGAGAGTATCAGTCAGTAACCTGGGGGTCATTTTGGGTGATCTTTTCTGAGGAAGAGGCTCATGGAAGGAGACCCCAGGAGGTGACTCTACTTCCTTGACGATGACCCAACAGAACATGGAATCCTGGTAGGCAGGTGGCCAGATTCCACAGCCAGTAACAGCCAGATCACTTGGTCAGAAACCCTGTAGAGAGCAGGGTGTTCTCTTGTTGTCTCCCAATATCCTCTGGCTCAGGCCACAAGAAATCCCAGAGTGGATGGCTTCTTCATTTCTGGAGACAGTGGACCAGACCTTGTGACACAAGAGAATTGAGGTCATTTTCCAAGAGCGAGCCAAAGAGGACAGAGAGCAGCCAAGTGCAGGTATACACAGTCTAGGCAACTGCTCTGAATAAACCATTACAGTAGCTCCAGAAACCTCCCCCATGTGTTTTTTAGTCCTAGTTTTGAGGATAATTTTTTATGCCACTAATTTTTCAGTTTGCTAAAAATTCCATTTTTAAACTATCCCTCCTTGATCCCATCTAAGGGAGAACATGAGTCAACCCATGTCCTGGATGAGCCTTGCAGTGGGAAAACACTTGAGCCTGGCATGCTGGAGAAGTTTGTAAAAAACCTGGTGCCTTCCCTGCAGAGAGGAGACCCCTTCTTTGTTCCAGCCTTCCTGTACACCTACCGAAAGTTCTCCACTACTAGGCAGGTGCTGGATCTGTTTTTTAAAAGGTTAGTATACCAGATACAGTTCAATGGGGCTTGTCCCCTCTATCCCTTTCTTCAGAGTACTAGAAAACACCTTGGGTCAGCTTGCTTTAATACAGTGCAGTTCAAGATCAAGTGTGATGATCCCTGAAAGGCTCTCCCAAGGCTTATCCCTGTAAAGTGAACTTCCAAGCCTGTGTGGCCCTTGTGTGTGAATTGCATCTCCACTATGAAGAAAGTCTATTCCTCAAGCCTCACTGATCTAAGAAGACTCATGAATAGCACTTGTGCCATGTTAAAGAGTTTCTAGATTACATCTGAGGAATCTCTGAGTTTTGGAAATCAGAGCAAGACTTGCATATGTACTCAGAATAGACTTGTACCCATTGAGATATTTAGGAAGAAGATGGGTAGGTTTTGTAAATACACAAACAGGAATGATGTAATGTATATCAGCCCATTACAAATCAGTTAGCCTATAATTCAGGAATACTCAGGACAAACCTGACATCCATCCTAGATCATCATTCTCATCTGGGACTCAGCCAGTTCATTAAATTCTGGAATGGAAAGTGGGCAACACACAATATTAGAAGTGACACCCTTGTATCTTCCTGTAGGTATGGATTCTTCCATGATGCTTGTGAGGAGGATGAGCAAATAAAGAAGTGAGTGGACTTTGGGTCAAGAAGGAGGACTCCCACATAGTGGGTGGAGAAATTATTGGGGCTGCAGTTGGATGTGGGAAAACTCTGGATTACACACCGCTTTTCATTTCCCCTAGGGGTTGAATCTGGGGCTTGACAAGCTGGCAGAGGAATACAGAGATATTGGTGGAATCCTGGGAATTTGGGGAGGTGACAGGAGGCTGGAGATTCAGGGCTGGTCACAGTGAGAATCCACCCTCACCCTACTCATCATAACCACATGTTCCCAGCACTATTCTTGATCTAGGCCTGGACAGGAGATGAGGTGAACACCCTATTCGAATGGACTTCACCCCTCTTCCAAAAATGTTTAGTTGCACATAACCTGGCAGCCTCTGTATGGGTGTCCTCCTAGCAAGAGGCCATTTGAGTACTGGGAAGGCTGAAGACAGATTGTGATATTTGTGCCCCCCAATCTGTCCCCAGCCTCATCTGCTACTTCCTTGGGATGTGGCTGGACAAGTATCCTGAGGATTTCTGGAAGTCCAAAGACCTGGCCATCTTGAATCAGTTGATGGCCTATCTGCTGGTCAACATGCCTTTCTCAGAACTGACAGTTCATGTCAACTGTCTGTTGACTCAGCTAGAGGACTTGGAATCAACTGATACATAGCTCAAGCACAGTGAGGAGACCTTCAGTAAGTGACTTATAACAGAGGAGGAGATGTGGGTACTGATCCTGACCGGGAGCAGACTGAAGAGACTGGTGTTTTTTGCCACTAGACATCAGTGGACCTCAGTCTGGGAAGATGTCCTGTTCTTGGGTGGGATACTGGGAATTTCCTGGCAGGTGAGGTCTTCTCTGTGTGGAAAAGCAATGCCACTTATCATGCCATAGTTTTATAGCCTTCAAGTGCAGTACAACATGAACATCTAGAACTGTGTTCACTAGCAGTCCATCTGTTTCCATCCTTAGATTTGGGGCCACACATAACACTGATCCTTAAGGAAAAGAACCTATTACTTATACCCTCAATGTTGCAACTACTACCAGCCTTTTCTTCTTCTCTAGATGGAGACCCAGAGCAACCACAGTATTCTATCCCACCTGGGAAGATAGAGCAAGTTATTTCAGTGGTGGAAGGGCTGGAACAACTTAATGCTACTGGGTAAATCCACCTGGCTCTACCTAAAGTAGCTGACACAGTCATACCTACAGCTGTGAAGCGACAGAAGCTTTGAAGATCTGATGACTGTAGATCTCCAGCTGGCTCTTCCAATACAGGAATAATTAACCAACCTCTATCTTTGTAGAAGAAGTTACTTCTTGCCATAGAAAAATCCAGATCACAATCCAAGTTTGGCAGAACATCTTCTCATTGTTGCAACCACAGAACCAGTTCTGGCACCTCCCTTGGAATTGTCTCCTGAAGTCCGCCCAGAGCCATCCTTCCCTTCCCCTGGAAAATGTGTTTTACTTTTTCTGGTTCTTTTCATCTCAATGTTTGGTATGTTAGTTATTTTACTTTTCACCTCTAATAAAATTTCAGTATGCATTTATTTGAAGTTGTACATTTGTACAGTATTAAATCCAATGACAATAATGTACAAACTTGAGAACTCCATGTGGATACACTGAAGACACAAGCAAAGAACATGGCTCCTGTAGGGAGGATGATCATAGGCCTTCATGGAGGACATAATAGGGAAGAGCCTTCATTTGTAGGGACCAGGTGAATGCCGAGAGAGGGGCAAAAAGTCCAAGTAATGGCTGCAGGACACATGATGTTTAAGGACATGGAGTTGGTTCTCAGACAGAAGTGTTTCCTAGAAATGTGTTCCTACTTGAGTCTCAGGATTCTCATCTGTGAAATGGGATAACTGTGTTTTCCAAGCTTAGGATAAAGACAATTTGCATGTAATGGCATGGGGCACTTCCTTCCAACCTTGAGCATAAGGCTATGTGTACAAAACCCATTCTACTTTGTGTAAATACACCAAGTGGAATTTAAGGAGAGCAGAAGTTTATGTTTGGGAGGGTTTTTACAAAAAGATGTTTATAGCCACAGTTATTTTCTTAAAAATTTGCTAAGCTTTTGCACAAGCTTTTGGGATAGGCTCTGAATGAAGGGTTTTAGCCAATATGAATCATATATATAATTTTTTGTTGTAATAGCTTGTATGAAAATCTTCTACTGATCATCACCATCAAATGGCACCTGTCATGCAGGGCACATAAAGTACTGTCTACCAGTGAGGGTTAGTGATGGGAGGCCCAGGGCTGAAGAGCACACTTGAAGGATACCCACCACTAGAGATGAGTCACAGGGAATCTAGCATGCACAACACAGAGATCAGAGAGGGTAGAGGCCATATCTAGGAGTAACTGGTAGGCTGAGGCTGTGATGACATCATTATTTAGTTTAGGGAGAGTAGCTCATGCTTCTAATACCAGCTACTTGGGAAGTGGAGATAGGAGGATGATGGTTCAGGTCCAGGCTAGGCAAAAACAGAAGACCCTATCTGAAAAGTAACTAATGGAAAATTCCTGAGTGAGTGGCTGAAGTAATAGTGGGCCTGGCTACCTAGGATGATACCAGGAGTCCAAATGGTAAAAAACAATTGGGCTGAATACTCCTTAGAAAAGAAAAAGGAAAAAAGTTGGATGCCATTGGCTCTCACCTATAAACCTCTCCAGTCAGGAGGCAGAGATGAGGAGCATTACCATTCAAAACTTGCCCAGGCTAATAAATCACAAGGCCATATCTTGAACATACCCAACACAATAATGGGTTGGGGATCTAGCTCAAGTGATAATCACCTGTTTGGCAAGTGTGAGGCCCTGAGTTTAAACCAAAGTATCACTAAAGAAAAAGAATATACCTAAGAAGTCTCAAAACTAATCCAAACAAAATTACTAAATTTTGGTGAAAGAAAATATGAAACCCCCAATTAAATGAAAATAGATGTCATGTCCATAGATAGAAATTTTTAATTTTAGGTTGTCTAGGTTATACCATGCATTATACACTCATCTTATTCCTATGGGTAGCATAGGAAGGCTGATGCAAATAGTCATATGGAATTTCAAGGTATACTCAACAGACAATGTCAAAATGAAAACCAAATTTGTTATTTACATTTCCCAGTTTCAAATCACCACAAACCTGGTGCTGGTGGGTCATGCCTGTAATCCAAGCCACTTGGAAGGCTGAGATCAGGCCCATTTGGCAAAATTGTTCACAAGACCCTATCTCCAAACCATGCAGAGCAAAGTAAACTGCTGGTGTGTCTCAAGCAGTAGAATGCCTGCTTTGCAAGTTCAAAGCTTTGAGTTCAAACACTAGTCGTGCCAAAAAAATCATGCCACAAAACAAATGTCATCAAGAAAGTGACACAACTGGAATAACCATAGAGAGTAAGACTTATAAAAATGAAAGTGGAGTGTCTATAGTGAATTGATGGTTGATAAGTGCCATAAACCTTAAATTTGGCAAATAATGTCATCCTTATCAAGCAGTCTTAATCCATGGGCTACTCACAGGCAGTGGCATAAAAATGTATTCTTAATGCAGATCAACATTAAAGGAAACAGAGTCTAAATGTAAGAAGTAAAACTAGAAAGCCCACAAGAAAGCAATATGGGTAAATATTTGTGACCTTACATTTAGCAATGGCTTATAGAATGTGACAGCTAAAGCACAACAAAAGGAAAATATAGATAAATCTGATTTCCTCAGTATTCAAAACTCTGTACATCAGAAGACACTATCACAGTTGAAAGTCAATATTGCTGGTCTAGGGAAAAATAAACCTACTCTTTTCTCCTATTCTCTGTGTACTCAAAACCTCTGACCAAGATGTGCAGGCCTTTCCCTACAACAACTCATTTTCATACACTAGCAGTGGGTCATGCTATTCAATCCATTTCTAAAACCACTTCCTTGTAGACAGCAGCAGAGCCACAGGTTAAGGGCTCAGCCCTACAGAATGAACACTGCCACACGCAATAGGTTTTCAGGTTGTCCTCAACTGGCTGATTTGGCTTCAAAGCAGAGTTTACCACCTGCCAAAGGAAAATAATGTAAACTTGCTGATTCCATACAGAGCTCATTTTTTCATTTTTGGTGGCCCTTTCTGTGATGGGGTTTCTGAGATAGTGTCTCTGGCACTGTTTGGCTGGGGCTGGCTTTGAAATCTGATCCTCCTGATCTCTGCCTCCTGAGCAGGAAGCATCATAGTCATGAGCCACTGGCACCAGGTGCAGAGCTCATTTTATTGCACACAAATGAACAGTCAGATGAGGATGACATGGGGAAAGGTTTGTGGGAAACAGAAGGAGTTTCCATGTACTCTTCAGGCACCAACCTCCAATCCCCTTGATGTGTTCCAGCAGTGTTGAATGTCTACATTTCCTATCATTTTGGGTTCTCAGGAAGATTCATTAGAGAACAATGATTGATTACATTATTAGTCAGTGGTGTGGAGAGCTCTTAAAGTTCCAACCATGTGATCTCATGCCAGGCTACCCTGCAAACAAACAGCATGCCCACTTAGGAGACTGAACCATTAGCCACCTCACCATATTGCAGAATTGTCACATAGACAGACTCAAGTCTCTAAAGCTAAGTGCCAGAAATGCAGGACAGATTCCAAATATGTATTTATGATTCTTGTCACTTCACCTTGAGGGTGATATTCATGGAGTCCAGCATTGGGCAGAAAGTTAGCAGACAGTGTATTTTGTGATTCAAAGCATGCAAAGTGCTTTTTGAATCAGAGAGCACACCATCAAGAGCATGCCTGGAGATCTACGTCTATAATCCTGGCATTGGGATGGCAGTAGGAGAAGGCTCAGAGAATGTAACAGCCTGGGCCAATTAGTGAGTTTAAGGCTATCTTGTGCTACATAGTGAGATCCTGTCTCAGAAAACAAAGAGCTGGGGATTTAGCTTAGTAATACAGTGCCTGCTATTAGGGGTGTGTGTGTTTGTGGTTTTTGTCTCTGTAGAGCATTTGCTTTGAATTTTATCATTCTGGCTTTTTTCTACAAAATATGTAAAATAAAACAGGCCAGAGATGTGGGCTATTTAGAGCCCATGTGTTTCACTTTTACACAGTTCATATCAAAAGATCTTATGGATCTTGAATAATGTATCAGCAGAATCTGTTTTTGGGGTTTATTTGGGTTTCTTGTGTGTATGTGTCTTTTTGTTGTTTGTTTGTTTGGTTGGACTAGTGTCTGAACTCAGAGCTTTATGTTTGCAAAGCTTGCAAAGGATATTAGCCAAAAGTCCACTCTTGTATTTGGGTTTTATTTAAATATATTCAATGGCATTTCTTAAATGATGATAAAAGGAAATTATCTGTATAGTTAAAGGGACCACATAAACAACAGTCTTTTTAGGTGGGAAAGGTATCAAGTGAAATACAGAATATAGCATGGACAAATGGTTATTTATAGATTTTGATTTTTAGAAGGGGGAATATGGATGGAATGTTATGAAGCAGTAAGGGAGGAATTGGGCTGAGCAGGGGATCACAGTAAGTAGATCACATGGAGAGTGGCAAAAGAGGAGAAAACTAATCAAATATCTAGTGTCTGGTAATTTTTGTTAATAGAATTGCCAGGCAGCTAGTGAAACTGGATTTTATAAGAAAGTGCATGGAAAG